TGCTCTACGAATCTCGAGAGCCAGACCCCCAGCATGATTGCTTTCTCAAAAATCGAAGAGGCATCGTTCTCCGAATCTCGAGAGCCAGATACCACATACCACTTTTTCAAAGTGCTCTGACAGAGTTAAAACATGTGAAACTGGCAGCTCCCACTACCGTGCTATGACCAAGCAGGGTAAAGGAATAGCATTACTACTTCTTGTTAGGGAGACTCCTATATATGTCGACCTCCATCCCCAACGGACAGGCAGACCTGCAAAAATGCTTAACCCTTCATCATATCTGAGAGGGCACTCCCAACGAAGCCTTTCGAAATATTCAGCTTTCTTTCCCCCCGATAATACCTCTGCAAACAAGCTATACTAGAGCAAGAATATCTCATATATCATCAGGGTTAAAAGCAAGAGTATCCCATATCATGCTTTTTCCCTGTCTTTTCCTTTGGCCTTGTTTTTACCTGCAAGACAAGGAGAAAGAGAGCAATCAGTCAGCACTTGGATCAAGCTTCCAGCCAGGAACTGATTGCCTGGAACCCCTTACCTGATTACTTACCTGGCATTGCTCTCGAGTACTCATCTTCAACATCTTATGTTTCCAGGGAAGATTCCGCATCTGCTTGAGGAACAGATAGGGCAAGTGCGAAGGATACAAGGAAGCATGTGGAGACAAGCGTAACAGCACACGTGCCGATACACCCATTACTCTGTCAAAAGCAAAAGTATCCCATATCAGCAGGGTGGAACGTACTCTAGATTTGATGGACTTGTTTTGACCCTCAAATTCTTCAGTCGGCCTTATACTCTGGAGGAAACCAGAAAACCCTCCAGCTCAGTTCAAGAATAAGCCTGTGGAAAGTTACTTCTTCAAAAGCAAAAGTATCTCATATCATCTCTTCTCATTTTTCTTCTCTTTATCCTTCATGCTGCTGCAAGATGGGGAGAAGGTGAACAATCAGTCGGAGCTCTGATTGCTTACCTTGTCTGTCACCTCTTTCAGCAGACCCCCTAGCTCGGCGACTTGGAGGACTCCTACTACATGGTTTGTATCGCGCTTGACCAAGCCTGAGACTACAAGTAAGCTTCAAGTGAAATTGATACATTACCTTGTGCATCCCCACCAGTTAAAGATACCACCCCTGGATGGAGGAAGAGTACTTCCAGAGAAGATGCCACATCTACCTATGAGACAGATAAGGCAAGTCAAGACGACACCACACTCCGATACTTAGAAGTTTCGTGATTACGAGATCATTCTCCCACAATATTTCCTAATGTCATTTGTACTAAATCATTCACTTGTACTCACTAAAGGAGAGCTTGAACCTATGTACTTGTGTAAACCCTTCACAATTAATGAGAACTCTTCTATTCCGTGGACGTAGCCAATCTGGGTGAACCACGTACATCTTGTGTTTGCTTTCCTATCTCTATCCATTTATATACTTATCCACACTAATGACCGGAGCAATCTAGCGAAGATCACAAAAAGCGACCGTTTTCGCTACCTAGGATCTATCTTGCAAGAGAACGGAGAATTAGATGGAGATCTCAACCATAGAATACGAGCTGGATGGATGAAGTGTAAGAGTGCATCCGGCGTGTTGTGTGACCGTCGTAGGCCACTGAAGCTCAAGGGAAAATTTTATAGGACGGCAATAAGGCCAGCGATGTTGTATGGCATAGAATGTTGGGCGGTGAAGCATCAACACGTACACAAAATGGGTGTAGCGGAGATGAGGATGCTTCGTGGGATGTGTGGGCACACGAGAAAGGATAAGATTGGGAATGAGGATATCCGAGGTAAAGTAGGAGTAGCCGAAATTGTAGGAAAGATGAGAGAAAATCGGCTCCGATGATTTGGACATGTGCAAAGAAGGCCGACTGACGCTCCGGTTCGAAGATGTGACTACGGGACAGAGGTTCAGGGCCAAAGGGGTAGAGGAAGACCTAGGAAAACTTTGGAAGAGACTCTAAGAAAAGACTTAGAGTACTTGGATCTAACGGAGGACATGACACAAAACCGAGCGCAATGGCGTTCTAGGATTCATATAGCCGACCCCACTTAGTGGGAAAAGGCTTTGTTGTTGTTGTTGTTGTTGTTTGTTGAACTTAGGTTTACGCCATCAATAATGGAGCCATTGAGTTAGAGTTGGTATGAACAACAATAATTCTTAGTTTTTGGTATGAACAACAATAAGTTCACGACCAACTATTTAGACTAAATTTTGTAAAACATGTGACATGGTTTTTGATAATTTGATTATTACTTAAGTTTTGATTAGCATGCTTATTTTTTTATTAGGGACACATCACATGATTTGCAAGTTTAGTCTAAAAAATTGGTCTACATAGCATTACTCTAAGTTTTTATTATTTTTATTTTAACAAACTATATTATCTACACTAAAGGGTTAGGGGTTTAGGCTAAGCTTTACAATGGGCTAGCAATGATGTGGTTCAAATTCGTCTTTGGCAAGAATCAAACTTAAGATCTCTTACTTACAAGCGAAGAAGAATACCACTAGGGCGTAGTACTAAATGACAACTTTACTCTAAGTTATCTTGTAACAATGAGGCCACTTGTAAAGTACTTATAGAGTTAAGATTATTTTTTATACTGAATAGCAAAAAAGGATTTATCAAAATTATAAATGGCGCGGTAATGATATTCAATAACTTTGCGTGAAAGAAAAAACTTATGCGGTCAAGGTTATAGATATGGATGACATATTTATAGAATTTCGAAACGGACATGCACCTGCGATGCACGTGCAGTAGGATAAGAATTAAGGTACAAAAATGGAAAATGAAGTCAATTAGATACGCACGTGAATATATTATCGTAAAATATAAACCAATTAAAAATAAAACAACTGTGTGATTTTTTTTACGTAACGGCCTTTTAATAAAATTATATATCTTATTATGACCGCATCCATTCATGTAACGGCCTTTTAATAAAATTCCATATCTTATTATGACCGCATCCATTCATATCTGAGAAAATAGAAAGATAAGAGAAAGTTCAATGTATTTGCTAAAAAAATTCAAGTTCATAGTTTTTTTCAAACTTTAACAAATTCTAATGTACATATTATTTTTGAATTTATAAAAATAATTCTAATGGAAATCATAACTAATTGTAATTTTGTAAAAGAAATTGAATGGATTTGGACAATGCATGCACATTGTAATATTTGAAAAAAAAATGAAGGGTATTTTTGTAAATGAAGAAGCTATATTCGATAATAAAAATGGAACTTTAACGAAAAACACACGGTACTGTTCACTCTAACGAAAAACCACATTTTTACACTAAAAAGTCAATCATGATACTATTCACTTTACCCTTCATTTTGACCTTATCATTAAAACTCAAAATTTTCAAATTATTTTTATTAGTTTTCTTTAATAAAAAACAGTGATGTCATACAGCAACCAAAGTACACCAAACCCTGCGGTCTAGGTGGGCGTTTAGATTTAAGGAATTTTCTCAAATGACTATAACGCCCTCAGAAAGCTCATCAACAACGATGTGGCTTACACACCGAATCAAAACCCCGCGAAAGGCAAGTACACAAAAATGAGAGCACCGCACGCGCGAGAAAGCAGATTTGGGCGGATTTCACGAACCCTGTGGGCCCTCTACGCCCCTTCCTTTTCTATTTCTCTCCTCTCTGTCTCTCTCTCACTCCTCTATATAATAAGATGCGTTTAGTGAGAGTTAGAGAGAGAAAGTTTTAGAGTGAGAAAATTTGGTGTGCATGGAGGAGGAGAGATGGTGAGAGGGAAGGGAGGGTGCAAAATTTATGCCAAATTTTGATTCAATGAAGGCGTAGAGTTAGAGAGAGAAGGAAGAAGAAGGACAAACAAAATTTATTTAACAAAAAAAAAGGGTCCATTGACTCTTTTGGATTTTAATTTTTCCTCTCTGGGGTAAAGAAAGAGACTTGTAAGTCAGCTGCAAATCTTCAACTCCCATTGTTTAATGCCATTAATTATTTTTGGTTGATCGGTTTTTGTTGTTTGTGGTCAATTATCTGTGGCTTCTTTGGAAAAATGTTCTTTGAAATGATGTAACTCTTCATTTTAGTTTTTTACATTGAAAATCGATAGAAGTAGTCTATGAGTTTGTCTATCGTCGGTCATTTTTGTTATTACGTGAGAATTTCTGTTAAATTGAAGGTTGTCTAACAACCCCTCCATCTTGTTTTTCATTTAACGAAGATTTTCACGAAATGATCCAAATAATTGAGATTGACAAATTCCGGATATTACTTCTATCAATTTTCAGTGTGAAGATCCAAGTTAGGAGTCATTCCAAATTTTAAAAATCATTTTTGCTAAAAGCTATTATCTGTTTTACTTGTGAAAAAAAGACATGATTTTTTCACTCTGAAATTTATATGATTTTGATTGGTTTTGACTCTTTTTGTAGTATTTGCCTGTCCCTTTCTCTTCCACAGATCCCATAAGAGAGGGAGAGAGAGAGAGAGAGAGAGAGACAGTGGGGGTGTTGTGAAAATCCATTTAAACATCTGGTTAACTCTGTGTGACATAGACGGAGGGAGGCTTTTAGTACTTTGCTCACTGTCAAAATTAAAAGGTAAACCTTTTCGCCGTACTGGGTTGGTTGCATGCCATCCAACCATCTATCTGTAACTTTGTAAATTGTAGAGAGAGAGAGAGAGGGAGAGTGAGGGGAGGGAGGAGAGAGGGGAGGTCCACCGAGTCTATTTGAGGGGGGTGGGGAGAGAGAGAGAGAGGGAGGGAGGAGAGAGAGGGAGGTCCACAGAGTCTATTTGTTTGCTTGGATTTGGTTAATGATGTAATCCAAAAGTCGTAAGTATTATAGTGTGAATAAGATAAGCGTTTTTCTTTCTCCCCTTCAACATTTTGTGCTTGTTTGTCTTCTCCTTTTCCTTCGGCCAAAATTTTGGAGACCCTTTGGGAGTTCAGTTTCCCTTTCTTTTAAAAAAAATAAAATTTAGGTATTTCAATCCTGCCAAACAATTAGGGTTTGTTCTCATAGTTTTGGGAGGAACGGAAGTGATGGGAGAGGAAAGGGGATTGTGTATGTCTGAACTGGGAATCAGAAAATAAAGGGGTTTTCTAACTTTTTTTGTCCTGTTGCTCTTTCCTTCCTTTGTCTGTAAACAGATTTTCTAGAGAGAGAGAGAGAGAGAGAGACAAGGGAGATTTCTAGAGAGAGAGAGAGTCATGCATGGGCGTTGACAAAGGAAACAGCTTTTTCTTCTGTTTCTACTTGGAATGCAATTCTTACTTTTTCAGTCTTTAGCTCAATCTGGCAATTTCTTGGGTAAAAGGTCAATGATTTAGAATAAAAAACTCATTAGCAGCATACCCTTGTGAAAGTGATAGTGACTACTTATTTTCTAGGCTATAACCTGCAGAGCCAGCTTAGAGAGAGAGAAAGAGAAAGAGAGTCAACTAGTCAACAAATTCAGAGAAGCTTTAGGGTCTGTAGAGTCTAAAGGGTTTCAAATTTTCAATATTTTCAGTCAGTTTTTTCCACAAATTTTAATGAGTTTGGGAGGTTTGATCAGTAGCAGCGGGGGTGGAAATAGTGGACGTGGGAGAGGAAGAGTTGTGGCTGAAATTGCTCCACATGCCCCTTCCTTCATGCCTAGTGGCACCATTGCACACGCACACTTTCTCTCTTCCCCAATCCCCAATCCCAGGCAGACTTCCTCCTCTGCCCTCTCTCTCTCCATTGTATGCTGCTTTCTCTCTTTAAAAATCCATCACCTTTCCCCCTGATTCATGTCTTAAAACCCCATTGTTTGTTTCTTCTTCTTTTTTTGGTTTTTGATGTTATTGATGATGTTTTTGTTTGCGTCTGTTCTGTTGTTGTTGATGCCGTTCCTGTTGGTGTTTGGTTTGTGCAGCAGAAGATGGACGGTCACGGTGAACTTGGTTTCGCCGAGAATTTCGACCCCGGGATCATCGGAAGGCTGAGGGATGATGAGTACGAGAGCAAGTCGGGGAGTGATAACTTTGAGGGCGCATCTGGGGATGATCAGGACGGCGGCGGAGGCGACCAACGGCCGAGGAAGAAGAAGTACCTTAGGCACACTCCTGACCAAATCCAAGAACTTGAAAAGTACGTTTTTTCCCCTCTCAAATTCTTAATTTTATCAAAAAGTACTTGTTTTGGTGTTTTATTTGGGATTGTGGGACTTGATTTGTAAAAGGGGTCTGTTTTGTTTGTCTGTTGTTTTGTTTTTGTGTAGTTTTTTCAAAGAGTGTCCTCATCCGGATGAGAAGCAAAGGTCGGAGCTCGGCCGCCGTCTCGGCTTAGAGTCGAAGCAAGTCAAGTTCTGGTTTCAAAACAGAAGAACTCATATGAAGGTATTGTCACATTACTTACTTGGTCACTTTGTTGTTTGTTGGTATTAATTTAGTTATGTGTTAGATTTGGTGGTTGATTTTGTGAATGATGGAAATGTTAATTGGTCATTTTGAATTAGACACAACTCGAACGCCACGAGAATATAATTCTCAGGCAAGAGAATGACAAGCTGATAGCTGAGAATGGTGTGATGAAGGATGCTATTTCAAACCCAGTTTGCAACAATTGTGGTGGTCCGGCCATTCCTGGTCAAATATCGTTTGATGAACACCAGCTTAGGATTGAGAATGCTCGATTGAAGGAAGAACTGAACCGGATATGTGCTCTGGCGAACAAGTTGCCCATCTCCTCCTTGGGCATTCCTGGCTCTATTCCGAATGCAACCTCTGGTTTGGAACTTGGGGTTGGAAGGAATGGGATGGATGGTATGAATGCTGTAAGCGCTGGGTTGCCAATGGGGCTTGATTTAGGAGATGGGGTTTCAAGCTCTTCCCTTATGATCCCTCTCGTTAAGACCTCATCAGGCATGATGGGGAATGAGGTACCATTTGAGAGATCTATGTACATAGATCTTGCATTGGCAGCTATGGATGAATTGGTGAAGATGGTTCAGGTGGATAGCCCCCTGTGGATCAAAAGCTCAGATGGGACAGATATATTGAACATTGAGGAGTACCAGGCATTTTCTTGCATTGGTATGAAGCCTAGCAGCCTTGTAACTGAAGCCACAAGGGACACTTGTGTCGTAATAGTAAACAGCTTGGCTCTCGTTGAGATATTGATGGATGCGGTATGCTATCCTACTCTTTGTTTCAAGAAGCTTTTGATTATTTGTCTTGACTTACCTGTTAGCATGAGGATTGATAAATATTGATGTCGTTGATATTTGAACATTGGAGTTTGTAGATTGAGATGATATATTTGGTCCCTTGATTAATTTTGACTATAATCCTACAAATAGAATAACTTTTTAAGCTAAGTGTTTGAAATTCAAGTTAACCATTATATTTTCTTTGAATAGAATCGATGGGCAGAAATGTTTCAGTGTTTGGTCGCTCGAGCCTCCACCATTGATATGATATCCAACGGCATGGATGGGACCAGAAATGGTGCTCTTCAACTGGTATGTGTCTCTTTGCTCTTCACTCTTATCCACCTTATGATGCAAATGTGGAACTCATGAGGATTTTGTTCTGTAGATGTATGCTGAGCTTCAAATGCTATCCCCTTTAGTCCCTGTCCGTCCGCTGAAGTTCCTCCGTTTTTGCAAGCAACATGCAGAGGGTGTATGGGCTGTGGTTGATGTTTCCATTGACATCAATCAAGAAGGTCCCAACACAAACCCGTTTGTGGACTGCCGGAGGCTTCCTTCCGGATGCATTGTACAAGATATGCCTAACAATTGCTCCAAGGTAAATTATAGTCGATGCCATTTCTTTATTTGTTACATTTAACTTTCCATGCAATCTTATGGTTATTTATGAACCAAGATTATTGAGCTGGCCTTTGCTGTGTATATTTTCCTTCTACGATATAACTGTGGTTGTTGAGTTACATAATTCGAGTTTGTTGAGAACGCAACAAGGTGAAATTATGGGCAGTAAAATTCCCAGACATAGACTTGTGCTTCCAAGAATTTACGCTTTCGATATCACCCAACAAAACTGCTTTCTCTTTGATGAGATTGCTCTTATTGTAATGCACGTAGGACTTAACTTGGAAACCGGTACCCTTTATTAGTATTTTACTGAAGAAGATGCTTCTTCCTTGTACTTAATATATAGTCTTCGAATTTCGAAGCCAGGGTTGCTCATTGTCTGTATTTAATTACCCTACTGCTGCTCTGAGAGATGAGAAAATCAAGAATGCTCCCAGTCTAATACTAGAGAAAACCATCGTATCTGTTTCCGCGTCTAAAATATAATATATCCATAAACCCTTATGTGCAGGTGGACGTAAAACCCTTGGAAATTTCAATCTTTGTAACATAAACTAAGTATTTGATGCTTCTATTCCTCTCTCTCTTTCCGTCTTTAGTGTTTTCTTTATCGTCCACGAGACTGAATGACCTGGATCCAGTTTTATAGTGTTATATATTGAATTCCATGCAGTCTGATTTTCTGTGCACTATTTTACTACATTGTTCGCTTCTCCACAAGCCGCAGTTTTGACTTTTTATGCTTTATGTTTTCCTCAAACTTGTTTGCTGCACATTTATCCGTATCGATTCATGTCAACTTATCTCTAGGTGATATTATCTCGACCCTCATTGTCTTTCACATATCGTTCTCTCTCTCTCTCTCTCTCTCTCTTACTCACAGACACACACATACATACACATGACATGTTTGCATTTGAACTTGGCAAAATGGGGCACTTTGGTAAATTCATATGGTGGCTGCATGGCCTGATTGATCATAAAATAGGGAGCGGTTAAAGCTTAGTTTTGGACGTACTTTTTGCCTTTTCTAATTATGAAATGCTATCTTCTACGTATGAATCAAGTTTCATGACCAAAAATAAAAGATACAAACTGAATTTTGGGTATTGAAAGAGCTATCTTTTAAAATATTATTGGCTTTCTTCATTTTATTTGTGTAGGTAACATGGATTGAGCACACTGAATATGATGAGAATATTGTCCACCACCTCTTCCGGGAATCACTGCGTTCGGGTATGGGCTTTGGTGCACAGAGATGGCTTGCCACTCTGCAAAGGCAATGTGAGAGCCTGGCATTCCTCATTTCGTCAGCCAACTCCAATGAAGATCTCTCAGGTCACTCCACTCCCTTCTATTACATTTCTCTAACGAATACGCGATGTTTCATATTCTGTTGTCTGACAAATACGTGTGTTCAACAGGGATAGAGGTCAGCGGTAAGAAAAGCATGCTAAAGCTTGCACAGCGTATGGTGGATAACTTCTGTGCTGGGATTTCTGCCTCGTCTGTGCGCAAGTGGGACAAACTTTGCTTTGAAAATGTTAGTGAAGATGTGAGGGTTATGGCCCGGAAGAGTATGAATGACCCCGGCGAGCCACCAGGGATTGTGTTGAGTGTCACAACAACTGTTTGGGTTCCGGTATCAAGGCATAGGGTGTTTGAGTTTTTGCGGGATGAACAGTTTAGGAAGGACTGGGACATTCTGTCCAGCGGTGTTCCAATGCAACGCATTGTCCAAATTGGCAAGGGCCAAGGAGGTGCCAATAGTGTTTCTCTTCTTCGTGCTAACGTGAGTGGCTTCTCATTACTTTTCTACTCTTTCTACTTCCCATATACACCAGTTGTCTTATTTTGTTTGTGTTATTTTTCCTGATTTCAGGCGCCAGATGCCAACAACAGTAACGTGCTGATATTGCAAGAGACGTGGACTGACCCTACAGGCTCACTTGTAGTGTATGCACCGGTTGACACAGAATCAATAAATGTCGTGATGCGCGGTGGAGATTCTGCCTATGTAGCTCTTCTGCCATCAGGGTTTGCAATCCTTCCTGGTGGCCCGCCTGGCTACGGAGTGGTCAAATCTGAAGGCAATGGCTATGGTGGCGGTGGCGGATGCTTGCTGACTGTTGCATTCCAAATTCTGGTTAGCAGCCTTCCTACAGCCAAAATCAACATGGAGTCGGTTGAGACAGTTAGCACACTCATATCTTGCACCATTCAGAAAATAAAATCGTCTCTTCTAGCAGCGTAATGTTTTGAAGACCATGCCCATGCATGCATACCTGCTTAGCTTTTGTTTTTGCTTTATGCGTTTTGGGAGAAAATATATGATAGATGGGAAAACATAGAAGATTAGGATGATACACAGTGAAGGAACTCGAGATTGAGACGTGTCGCGAACAGGGGTTTTGAGTCAAGAACGAACCGCTTTTGGAGAATTTCTGTGTGGTAGATTGCTTAAATGGTTTTCTGGTGTGGTTTTGAACTTGGAAGAACAAAGAGTTCGTTGGTTCGGGTATTGACTCTGTGGACCTGCAGGAAAAAGGGTAGCCTCGGCTCGGTCTGGTTGCGTTTTGTTAATTATTATCGATATTTAGCATACAGAAGTATTATGGCATTGTTGGAAGAAACCTTTTTTTTTTTTTATGCTAATGGTTATATTTTGGATTTTGGATGTTTAATGTTGCTCCTAGTTTTAATTATGGTTTTTTTATTTTTTTGGTGAAATGATACGATAGCTTTTATTAAGTCTCATCAAGTGTTTAAATCTTGACCGAGAGCAATTTGAATAAAGTCAGGAGGTTCTTTGAACCATACTCGTGACTCATGACTACATGAACTAGACTTGGCGAGGCAATGAGCCACACCATTACATTCTCTCGGGATATACAAAATCAAACATCCCATAAACTCAAACACCATCTCATCGATTTTCTTGTTAATTTGAATGTTGAAAGTTAAGGTTATCTCCAACCGACCCAGCCAAAGGGTAATAGGGCTGAAAATAGCTCGGAATGACACGAAAACCGTCTCCAACCAAGGGATAGACCAAAGAGCTTATGGGCCCCACCAGGCCAAAACCCCCAAAGCAGGCCAGCTCAGCCCTCCAACGGCAAAATGTCAAGCAGTCTTACAGCTCAGCCCATTTGATTGCCAACGGCTACTTGGCATCAACATGACGCCAACTAGCAACAGCTAGCTAATGTCACAGTGCCGTCAAGTTACTGTTGGAATTTGAAATTTTTTTTTTGGGCAAATTTAAAAAAAAAATTTAATTTTTTTCTTATAAATACCTAAGTCATTCCTACATCATTTCTCACATACTTTTCACTATTACATACTATCTTACCTCATTTTATTTCAATTATTCACATTTTGTTCTCTTACCTCTTCCAATAATCTTTCCTTTAATTTTTTCAATAATTTTCAAATGGCCACATCTGCAATGAAATGAAGGGTTTGGACCTAAAAAGAAGATAAAGCTCTTTGCAGGGCTTATAGATGGGTCTCAGAAGATAGTGTCAAGGGTAGTTCTCAAACAAGTGAAGGTGTTTGGACTCATACGTCCAAAAATTACAATGAGTTCTACGAATGCACCACTCCATCGAATCCCTAGAACCACAAGAGTTGTTCTTCAAGATGGAGAACGACACAATCTCCACCCTAATACTACTTGGGGGGAGTTATTCAAACTTAAACAACATTAAACAAAACATTTAACAACATAAAACTTAAACACCTACTCCATTGTTCTTTTTGCCTAAAGATATGAAACAAGATCATGTTGTAGGTACTTATTTGTGGCACGCGAACGTATCATCCTATGATGCCTCATCTACCCATTTAAAGAGATATTACCAGTTTTTGGATCTAAGGGCAAATATGGTCCATCATATATTTTCGCATCAGCTGGGGAGGCATAGGCCAACATTTGGAGTGCAATAGTAACCTTTTGATGAGGTGATAAACCAGGGCGGCCTGATCTATCCATCTTATGTCGAAAGTATGGATTGAGATTATATAAAGATAAGAAATATGGAGGCTTATTCATTTGGTGGCAAGTAGCACTCAAAATATGTCCGAAAATCTTAGTTTAATATGGTAGTTTAATTTAATTAACCATATTAATTCAATTAAAATAAAAAATTATGTTTGGCCTATGATCTTTTGGCCTTCTCGATTGGAGATGACTTTTTGTCAAATGGCTATGTTTGGCCTATGACCCTTTGGCCTCCTCGTTTAGAGATGGTATAAAATATGGCATAACATTGTTCATTAAAATATAATTTCTTGCAGGGCTATAGGGCTAAAGTGAGTCATTTGGCCCTCATTCGATTGGAAATGGTTTAATCTATTTGGGTCTCTCTTTTTTCCTTTAATTATTAAAAGGAGTGATACTCGTATTCATTATTGAATATTGTGTTCATGTCACATTCATTATCTTAACGGATTCTTAACAAGTCACATAATAATGGCTCGAATCGTTAGCGGGTCGTATCGTTTCATATCAAGCTAATAGTTTATGTAAGAAATTGTCATGTCTAATGCTTAGACTTGGCAAGCTGGTCGTGTTCATGTTTTACCTGTAAGATTTTTATCGAGTTCTTAATAGGTGTTCAAAATACGATTCAACTTGATAATGGATTAACCTAAAACCTGTCATTTTGTGTTAAGTTAGCAGATTGTGCAAGAAATTACCATGTTTACAATTTTGTTTAACAATCAATAGAAATTATACGTTTACTTATTAAAAACTAAAACTTTTTTAAAAGTCGTATCATATTATTTTTGTAATATAACAACTCTTACAATTTTTTTAATAAAAAATACTTAAGAGGAACAATAAATCATGATTTATGCACGACTCATTTAAAAGCTGGCCAAGTCCCAAACAAACAAAACCAAGCAAACGAAATACATCTTAGTCAAAGGAAAGGACTTACTTGCACCCTTTGAGATGCCACCGTGGCATAATGGTCTATTTTGCAATGTCATTTGTCACGCGAACAAGTTAAAACATGTAACATTATATTCATTTGTTTGGAACGTCATGGTCTCATTCGTGAGAATTTAGGAAAGTGAAATCACTGTCCTAGTCCAAAGAAGAGAATTTGGAAGACAAATGAAGACCCAAATGTGGCCCAAATTTTCCAAACAATTTGCTGGCCGAACGGAAAACTGTTGCCCAACTTTCGAAAGCAGTCCTTCAGTTTCCCGTAATTTATTATTTTCCACGAACATTTCAAACTTTCTTACACTGACACCCGCGCGAGCCCAAGTAACTTTTCTCGCCGGTCGTCTCCTACTTCGCATCGTCATCCCCAAAAACCCTGCGCAAAACCCTAAACCCCAGAACACCAAAAATGCGCATATTCTTAACCTACTCAACCAATTTCTTCAACCCCAAGTCAAAAACCCTAAACCCCATCACATTCCTCCTCTGCAATCTCACCCCGACCCGACCCAAATCGCAGTCGACCTCCATCCCCAAAAAACAAGGCAGAATCCGCGACCACGGCTACGACAACTACATGGAAATCGAAAAAAAGACCCGAAAAGTCCTCAAATTTCAGGACCTCATCCTGTCGCAGCCCAACCAAATCATCCAAGTCTCCCGGCTCGACCTCCTCGCCCGCCGCTTCGGCTTCAAGCAGAACGAGGCCGGCGTTTTCGTGCTCAAATTCCCCCACGTTTTCGAGATTTACGAGCACCCGGTTCAGCGGATCCTCTACTGCCGGCTGACCCGAAAAGCCCACCTCCAGATTGAGCAGGAGAAGCAGGCAATGGTGGCACAAATCCCCGACGCCGTCACCCGCCTTAGGAAGCTCCTGATGATGTCCAACACCGGGCGGCTCCGCCTCGAGCATGTCCGGATTGCGAGGGCGGAGTTTGGTCTGCCTGATGACTTCGAATACTCGGTAATTCTCAAGCACCCTGAATACTTTAGACTGTTTGATGCGGAGGAAACTAGGAACAAGTACATTGAGGTTGTCGAGAAAGATTGTAGTTTATCTGTTTGTGCTATTGAGAAACTTAGGGAGATTGAGTATAGGGAGAGAGGAATTGATGCCGAGGATATAAGGTTTTCGTTCATTGTGAATTTTCCGCCCGGGTTTAAGATTGGGAAGTACTATAGGATTGCGGTGTGGAAATGGCAGAGACTTCCGTATTGGTCTCCGTATGAGGATGTTTCCGGTTATGACTTGAGGTCGATTGAGGCGCAGAAGCGGATGGAGAAGAGAGCGGTTGCTGTGATTCACGAATTGCTGTCGTTGACTGTGGAGAAGAAGATTACATTGGAGAGGATTGCTCATTTTAGAATGGCGATGAATTTGCCGAATAAGTTGAAAGAGTTTCTGCTTCAGCATCAGGGGATTTTCTATATTTCGACTAGAGGGAATCACGGGAAGCTTCATACAGTGTTTCTTAGAGAGGCTTATAAGAAGGGTGAGTTGATAGAGTCAAATGATTTGTATTTGGCGAGAAGGAAATTGGCTGAGTTGGTTTTGATTAGCCCTAGGAAGGCAAGAATGGATAGTGAATTGGTTAGTTACCGCAGAGATTGGGAAGACGATGAGATGGGGCACGTTGGAAGAGAATGTGTTGGGAATGCTTTTGAGGATTTAGGAGGAGGGAATGATGATAGGCGGGAAAGGGATGTGGAGGATGGTACGAACTCAGATAGTGGTGGTGATTATGACTCCGATGGATGAGGGTGATCGATTGTGGTGAAACTATGGAGGAAAAGGATTTCCATGGAGCAGAGTGGCTGAGATAGAACTCGTATTTGGTACTTGAATCATCACTGTTGACAGTTATGGAAGTTTCAGAGGAAAGGAGAATATCGACTACTGTATCATCTAACTTAAGTGTCTCTGAAACATGATGAGTGGTTGATGATCAAGGGTGGCATTTACGTGAAGCAGAATTGCTTCATCATGGACAGCACCTCATGTGGAGCTGGATTTTTGAAGATTGGAGGGCAAAGTTTCGATGCCAGTAGCCTTTTACGCTTGTGCAGAACTTGAAGAGATCCTGAAATTGAAGTTTTTGAGGTGAGTTGCCATTGCCTCTTTACCTTGTGAATTTGAAAGAAACCATTTTTGAAGCATTTGAATACATTGAACTTAAGCGCGAATAATTGGACGAGATTTGCCTTCGGAGATTGGTCCTGAAAGTTTCTTAAATTAACCGAGACTGTCACCACATGTTGTGTTTTGTAAGATAGACTGCATGCGAACAGATTATTCTGCGTACCTTTGATCCTGAGGTGAAGTATCACTGCATTCAAAAGGATCCTAAAACCCAAAATTTCAGGCAAATGTGTGGCTAGGTGAACAGGATCATTGACAGCCTCCCGTACTTTGGTTAGGCCAATTGATCAAGGCAAAATGGGTATGCCCGTTCCATTGCATCTTATGTTTAAACGCCAAACAAGAAACATTGATGGTGTTGGCCATTTGGTCCAAGAGACAAGGGAGAAGCTTCTACGGTAAACGGATCTATCGCTACCATGACCTTCAGTGCGACAGTGCCATGATGACATGTATAGAAAAATCAACACTTGGTATTGTTTCGGTGGCATAGGACATCATGGTGACATTATTGATGTCAGTATCAACGATATAATGACATGCGGTGAAAACTTGACACTTACCATTATAGCATGGAATTAGGATACAACGTAACGCATAACAATGTACCCATTTCTTGTAACTTCTCTTTCGGATATAGAGGCCACAGCCGCACTAAACTTTCACCGAATTCTTTGCGTACAGGTGGAGTTTAATCGATGAGAAAAATCTTCAAGTCTTGCACTCAAACCTTTCTCACGTGAAAGCGATCCCCCACCCTCTATAAGTAGTGTGAGTGCTCCCCATTCCTCAACCGTCCGATCTCAGGTGATCGATTTTTACTAACATCATCGGCAGTCGTCGGCGACTGAGCATATCCCACGTGTCCGTTTTCCGCAAAAAAATATCTAGTTGGCATGATGAGCAGCTGTGCGTTCACTTTCTCTTTTTGGTCGCGTTCTGCACGCGTGATTATCGTGGTCTGCGGACCACCTGATCTCTTTTGCCACTTATTTTGTTCAAAAATCCTAAAATCCCATGGATGTATCGCATACATTGCTGATTTGGTGAATTGTCATCTAATCCATGGGAATTTTAAGTATTAAATAGTTGTTTGGAAGTAGTTGTCTCTTTATAAAAATCTTGATATTGCCAACTTGAAAGGGGAAATACTTTTCTTATTGTAAAAGCCGACTCATGTTTCCATTCAATTTTCATTATGAAGATGTATTACGTTAGGATCCGTTGCTCAAACTGAATCATGCTAACGTTAAGAAAGTCTTGAATCGAGTGAAATAAGAGTTTTACGAGAAAACTTCATTCAATTCTCGATGGAAATGGAGTTTTGTGAATTCTCCTTGGAACTGGAAAATCATTTGGAAAAGTGAACCCTAATCGAACAGAAAAAGAAAATAACATGAATTCGTATTCAAACATTTTTAATCATTAGATTGACAAGTTCACTTTTATTAGTAATAATGTAATATATCATTGATAATGTTATTCACACATCTATTTTTACCTTCCACACATCTTTGTTAATTTGTTGTCATGGATCTTCTTCAACTCACTTGATCTGAGGGCCAAAAATTGAAATTAGTGTGTGAGAAATAAAAAAAGATATGTAGATACTTATGAAACACAATCTCCACTCTACCAGAGGAAATTGTTGATTTAAATCTCATAAACGACAGCGATTGTTGACTACTAAATTGAAAATAAAAATATTAAAAGTAAAATCACATTATTATATTTTTCAGGAGGGCCCAAGGCCTTCCCTTCTCCATTGATTGTCTGTCAAAAACCAGCACGCTCCTGCCCAAAAAGTCAAACCCCCATATCCAAAAATCCTCCATTTTCGCATCCCATCTGTCATTCTTCGACCTCACTCCCTTTTTCTATCATATTTAGGCTGTAAGCCTTCCACGACGGTGGACCTAAATTATCCTTTTCTTTTTCAATTTATTTTCCAAATTCCACAAGCTTTCGTATTTATAGGTAGAGACAGAGAAAGCGGGACGGGGGTAGAGAGAGAGAGAGAGAAGGGGGAAGGAAATGGGTAATTCATTCGGTTGCTCCGCCTCCGGCGAACGGCTGGTTTCGGCGGCGAGAGACGGGGATGTAATCGAGGCCAAAATGCTCTTGGATTGCAATCCCTGCCTCTCCAAATACTCCACCTTCGGCGGCCTTAACTCCCCTCTCCATTTCGCCGCCGCTAAGGGCCACAACGAGGTGCTTTGTCCGTCCTCTCTTCCCCTTTTCTTTTCTGGGTTGGTTTTTGTTTTCAATTTTTTAGCTGGGGATTGTTCTTTTTGATCGGATTTTCGATTTTTGTTGTGGGTTTTCTTTTCTGGGTTTGATTCAGATTGTTTCTTTGCTGCTGGAGAATGGAGCTGATGCCAATTCCAGGAATTACTGCGGGCAGGTACGAAAGTTGTTGCTTTTTCTCATCTAGATTATGATTGTTTGTCAGACAGTAATTTAATTTGTGTTTCTGAATCCCCATTAGAGTAAATTTTGGCATTTGGGTATTGATCTGGTTAGAAAGTTTAGTGATTGGTTTGCTTTGTCGCATAAATCGAACCCTCTTAACGAAAAAATTGAAGCTCACGAGGGGATTGAACTAATTTCATGCTTAAGGGCCACAGATCGGAAATAGTTAGGGAAATGCAGCTGGTATATTTTCCTTTATGTTCGACGAAATTGTTGTTCTGTCTTTGATACGAATGTTGATTTAAGTTATTTGATTTCTGTGTTTAACATTAAAGACAGCATTGATGCAAGCATGCCGATATGGACATTGGGAAGTTGTACAGACCCTCTTGCTCTTCAGATCCAATGTAAGTTTTGATTGTCTCATTGTTTTTTTATTGCTATTTAACTGGATTGTAATATATGAGTAATGAATCTTTCATAGTGAAGCTAGATATATCAGTTATGCTTTGAAACACTGTAGTCTTTTTTTCCACTTAGAAAAAAATATTGATTCGCAGCACAATATTTAATCATAGTATTTTTCTTTATACTAGGTCACAAGAGCAGACTATCTAACTGGTAGGACTGCTCTTCATTTTGCTGCTATAAATGGGCATGTAAGATGTATAAGACTTGTCGTGGCTGACTTTGTTCCAAGTGCTCCCTATGAATCTCTGACTGCTCAGACAGAGTGCAACAGAGGTGATAGTGCAAAGGTCGTGAACAAAAATGAGCAAAGGTATTTGTGTAGCTTCTGTTTTATTTGTCAAGGAGATTTTTATGAATGTAAATTCTCCCACGATTGGAGCAATAATGAAAAGAGTAGTGATGTGGGATTGCTTTCCATTTCTACAGATTCAAAGCGGCTAAGTCGCTAAATTCATTTTCTGCATGAAGTTTTCCGTGCACTATGTAAATAGATGCAAGCTCTGTTTAGCCCATCTAAATTTTTGCTGGTGTTATATCGCCAAGATATTTATATTTGTTTAGGTTTTGAACAAACCGTTATCGGATAGGTTATGCTTTTAGATTGTACAGAAGCATTTGATCTACACATATCTCTCTTGCTATTTATTCATTCTATTCCAGTGCAGTGCTTTATCCAAACTTGTAAATAAGGTAGCAGATTGTGGTATTACTGCTCTCCATATGGCTGCATTGAATGGATATTTTGGTTGTGTACAACTCCTACTTGATCTTCAAGCAAATGTGTCTGCTGTGACGTTTCATTACGGGACTTCTATGGATTTGATAGGTTTGCTTTTTGTTTAGTAACTTGTACATTAACCGAAGGAATGTTGCTTTCCCATCCTGCTTCAAACTGAAGTGGAAGTTTATTCTTTGTAGGTGCTGGAAGTTCTCCACTGCATTATGCTGCTTGTGGGGGTAACTTAAAGTGCTGTCAGGCAAGAACTTATTAGTTTTGACGGCTTGTAAATTAGTTTCTCTCTCTCTCTCTCTCCCTTGGATTTAAACTGATGGTGTCCGTATTTTTCAGATCCTCCTTGCAAGAGGTGCCAGCAAGATGACTTTAAACTGCAATGGGTATGGGTCTTTTGGTTTTCACAATTAATGTTCTGTTACTATTAAATGATTAATGTGAAGTATATTTTTTCAGGTGGCTTCCAGTTGATGTTGCCCGAATGTGGGGGCGCCACTGGCTTGAACCACTTCTAGCACCCAATTCTGACTCATCAATACCAGCGTTCCCCCTATCAAGTTACCTATCTTTGCCTCTCATGAGCATAATGAACATAGCAAGGTATCTCTTGAACCAAGTACATCTATGGATACTAACACTTACCAAGTTTCTGGATGTCTAGTGCCTGGTGTCGAGAGTTTCACCCAAAGGATGCCACATACTCATGGACACATTCAAATCCTTAGTTAGGAAAATTTTAATGAGTGTATCAGTGTCACCACATAGACTCAAGTTCTTTGGAATTTACTGCAGGGAATGTGGATTTAAGGCTGTGACAACATCAGCGGACGACACAGATACTTGTGCTGTCTGTCTGGAAAGACCATGTTTGGTGGCGGCAGAAGGTTTGTCCCGTAGTGGTTATTTTTCATGTCTTATGCTTTCCTGATACTTTACAAACTACCTTTTCCCATAGTATAGCTGAATGCTAACATTGTTAGCTAATCCTATAACTATTGTAGTTGCTTACTGATAATCCTTTCCCGAGGTCCTTAATAGTCTTGGGAGGACTTTAGATTTGATTCATTTAACTGGAGTAAAAGCCTTCTGCTGTTACCATGATAATAATTCTGATAGCGGATATCTGATTGCATGTTTAATTCATTGGTCCTATTTGTTTGTTTTAATATTGTCTTAGATGGGTGGGCACAATTTTACCAAGTTACCAACCGGATAAGAGGCAAAATGGTTTCTTGGCCTCTCATGCTTGCAGTCTTAAATTCAGAGAACCCAATATTTTCAACCAGTATGTGCATAAATACAAATGAGGCATTCCAGTAATATCTTGAAAACAAGAAATGCCAACTCGGGATAAAGTCATGTGTATATGCAGTATGTAGTTTGTGGTGATAGATTGCTTACTTAATGGGTGAGCTTGATATTTCATAAAACCCCTATGTCTTTTTTTTTTTTTTTTTTTTTTTTTCTATTACTGATATGCCATCCTTTAAAATATTGTATATCTCTTGGATTAACATTGAAATCTTATGAGTTGTTCCATTTTCGCGCTCAACCGCTGTTATGTTAAGTGTCTACATTATAGAAATTCAGTTATCTTATGTACAAGATTACTCATCCTTCGTTTACTTGTACCTTCAGGCTGTAAGCATGAGCTTTGTGTAAGATGCGCACTCTATCTTTGCTCAACAAGCAACATACCTTCGGAAACAGTGGGCCCACCTGGGTCCATTCCGTGCCCATTTTGTAGGCATGGAATCATCTCCTTTGCCAAATTGCCTGGCTCCCCGGCAAAGGAAAATAGACTACAGATGTCACTTGGCCTTTGTACCCCTTGTATACTTCACCCTCGTGACCCAGAGCGTCTATCTCCAGCTTGTGCACCAGAGATCCGAAAGAACCGTGTGGCTTCAGTTTCTTCAGATATGCTCTGTGCAGTCACCTGCAGTCCGTTTCCTTCCGTCACCATTCCTTTGTGCACCTGCAATGATGGTCCATGCCCACCATTTGAATCCCGGGAGGTAGAAACCGAAGATGAATTGCCCAGACATCCCCAAGCAATATCAACAGACCAGGATAAGATGGAAGGGCCGAGACTTGGAAAAACAACATGTTCAAGCATGTTTTGGAGCAGAAGAAGCTGCACCAGGGAGCATCAGTGCAATGCTGAAATAAATGCTTAATGAGTTTGATGGCGATGGCGTGCCTTCTCATGTGTCCCAGTCAAAAAGGAATTTTTGATTTTACATCAGCGTTGTGGGGCGCCGTATGTTTGATCCCTTCTGGCCGTGGAGTGTATGAAATTAAGCAAACCCGCATTTGCCTCCTGTTTTTGTTCGGCTGGCTGCATGGTGGATTTCGGTATTGGCATCACAGTGTAATGTTCTCTTATGGTATTTCCGGCGGCTGTAAAATTTGTATGTTTGGAATATACATTGATTGTAATTGAATGTGAACAAAGAAAAGAAAAGAAAAAATTCGTTTCACTACATTTCTTGAGAGATTGTGCACCAAACAACGACAGTGCCAGTGAAAATAGTGTGCTCTTCCTCTTTCGCATTATAGCGATGTTCTAATATAACTAATCTAAATATTGCAATTTTTCTCTTTTCCTTCCCCAATCTTTCCTCCCTTTTGCTTACATTTTTATGGCCCTATAGTTCACGGATGCCATTGCTATGAAGCTTTTTGTATCTCAGTGTTATCTAAGGGTTGTCTCAGTTTGATCTAAGCTTGTCCGGATAAGGCCCTTATACCTTTTTCATCTCTAACTATCGTTCCTCACCATAAATCCTCAACCATTTATCCCTGCTTCTCAGCTCATCAGGTGTCTCCTCCAAGGACCTCTGCCGGTGACACTTTGGTGGTTTGTAACTTTTAAAGAGCAAATCACACCATTTTGGTGTGATGATGGGAGTGTTCATAGCTCGGGTGGCTTGTCTACCCTCATTTTCTGTTTATTCATTTGATTTGTTAGTCCTTATTCTAAGCGGTAAAATCTTTGTGACAGTAGACGTAGCTGTTTTACTTTTTCAAATGTAGGTTTCTTTTTTACTTTTGTGTTGCTAAGTGCGTTTTTAATGTAATTTATCATGCATAATTGAGGTTTTGCTTTGTTGTTTTAGACACTCTCTTTGAGTTGTCCTTATCTTGTGTTTAACCAACTTGGTCATGTTCAAATTAGCATTCTCTTTCGCATGATGGGATAGTTTGAAGTAACGCTAGAAGAATTATATTCTCAGATAAGCATGCCACGTTGCAATAGCACGGCGACACGTAACTTAGCTATGATGCCTAGCTACATGAACCGAATCACCAAACACCAATCAACAATCAACAGAAGACAAAAAAAATGACCGACGGGACCTACCACTGTCCCAAATACCTGGTACAACTAAATAAACAGTTGCCAACGTACGTACATAATAACAAACCCTAGTACGTACGATCATATGCATAGTTGCATATTCTCTCTCTCTCTCTCTCCACGCTTTAGGGAAGACCAGCACAGCAGGAGATACAAAACTTCAATCTTTTTATATGATATTTTTAATTTTATTGATGTTAATCCAGTACTAAGTTATCAACATCTTCTTCTAGCAGCAGTTGCCCGTTGTGCATTGAAGTAGACGGCAGCCACAGGCAGCCCGAGACCATTCTCCTGCGAGAATATTCTGGTATTGAAATTGTCTCTGGAAGCTGGAGCTCTCACTGTTTGTCTTCCTCTCTGCTTGAATAGCAGGAATACGTACCTGTGAATGCCTACGACCGGCCGTGGAATTTCATACTCGACAATCTCTTTTCCTGTTAATTATATAAAACCCAAAATCTCATATTTAGCTAAGAACAAATCTTCGTTTAGCCCTAATCTTGTGTGTGTGTGTGTGTGTGTATATCACTGTATTGTCTGCAATGACTAGTTAATTACTTACCAAATGAGACATCAGTGGTGCCAGGAATGTCTGTGACCATCCTGAAATATATATATAGTTTAGTGAAAGTTAAATTATTGCAACAAATAATTAAGTTACAATCTCTGAAACTGTAGTATGCGAGTTTGTGTGACAAGTAAAATATATACAAACCAGTGGAGATGTTCTCTCAGGTATGGTTCGCTGGGGCTTGGAAAATCTGGGTCTGTCATTATCTTCATCAGAAGCAATCATCCGAAAACAAAAGTTAGTTATATAACAGTAGTACTATCAATATATATTATCTTCATGTAGCAAATAAGTAATCACAAAGTATTGGTGAAATTAACTTACTAAGGTATAAGCAGTCCTCATATCTTCACCTCCGATCTCGACGCGAGGTTTAGCAGCAATGACAGAAGGCATGAGCTCATGTCCATTAGCAACTTGTCTGTTTGGGTTGTAAACTACATTCAGGTTCACAGTTGGGGTGAAGATGTCCACAACCTCTCCTATCACTCTTCCAAGAGTTAGTGGCTCCATCATCCTTGACATACAAAAGAATTGGAGTGAGTGAGTGTTGAAGAAATGTTATATATCTTTGTGCTAGAAAGTTGATCATGCAGTATACTGGAAGTGAGACTATGTTGGCTTTTATAGGCACAAAAAAGGCCCAGAAAGCATAAATTAATAATATTACTCAATTAATTACCATTCAGGGAATAAGAAGTTTGTAGATAAGTTGACTAAAAGCATTTACCCGGTGTTCCAAATTCAACTTTCCCTCCTTCCATATCGTTGTCTTAAAATTACATTTGGGGAAGGGGTGTGATATCCACACCCTATTTTACTTCTCACACACCTTTTTAATTTTCGGTAGTCGAATCAGATGAATTAAAAAAGATCAACGGACATAAATTATCAAGGATGTGTGAGAAGTAAAATAGGATGTGTGGATAACACACAGAGAAAGGACATTTGAAATAAGATTTCAAATTCGAGTTATCTTTTGGATGTGGTGAGAAGCCACTAGAAGGATGAGTCCTTACTTTGTTGAGTTTGAGAAAAGAGATCCCTCTGAAAAGTATAAACATAAATTGGTATCTCTCTGTAGAATCTAATGTCATTGCCTTATTGGGTAAATGAGAATGAAGAATATAACTTTTTCTACTTAAAAAAACAATATCTTGGGAAATCTTGGGAAAATGGGAATTCATCTTTTAGAGGTGCTTAATAATTCTCCACGTGCACACATGCTTTCTTTCCAACATTAGAAAGGAAATAATTCTCTTATCAACAGGTCTGGAAAAAGTGTTATAATTTATCTTGATGGAGAGCCACAATGTTATTTCCGAGACACCGGAGGAAATACACCATAATTATACTTATCATGCATACTTCTACTGTACTCGATCACTTAAACAAACTTCAAGAGCTAGTTAAAATAACTTTATTTTAAGATGAGTGATTTTCACATTCTTTTTTTTTTTTTTACTTTAGACACTCATCCTCTTAATTTTGTATGTTGATCGTATATTCATTTATTCAATTCAATATGTAATTCGGTCGTACCCAGTGCACAAGGTTCCCGCTTTACACAGGGTCTGGGAGAGGTGAATGTCGGCTAGCCTTACCCCCATTTATGGAGAGGCTGCTCCCAAATTTATTCAATTCAATAACTAAAAAAAAAAAAATTGCATGAAATGAATAAAAAGATGTTGAAATCACTTCCTTATTTGTAACAGTAACATGCAGCTGCAGATAGGAAAAAAAAAATACTTCTCTACAAAACTTTGATTTATATACAAATTCAAAGTTTTAAGCAAGGAGATTAGATGAATTTTACCCTAGAAATTAAACATTTGACATCCACCAATAAATCTCTTGAGATATTGCGTCACGCATAGGGCTTCAAAGGTGGGAAGGTATCGATCTAGAGAAACACGATTGTCAAATTCCCACAATGCATGATATCAATTTCTTTAGTAAAAACCTATACAGAACATTGAACCCTAGAGTTTGACATGACATCACTTCCTGTTATTCATGTATTCTGGCTGTAAATACTGGGAAATTATATCTTAATCGTGTTGATTTAGGAACAAGGTTGACTGGCACGGAAAATAATTGGCATATATATTCTCAGGATAAAAATGTGTATCTATAACTATTTATATATAAAGTCGGAAGGCAAAAATGATGGATCATTCTCAATTCTAAAATATTATTCTCTAATTACGATTTTAAAATTGTTAATGTAGACATCGAAATTTCGGTAAATAAATGTTGACCGATAAATCAAAGTGTCAACGCTCATGTATTACATAAATTTTACACGTAGCGTGTGACTCAACGAAAATTGAAATGAGTTGGAAAAGTCATCAAATAGGACACGTGTCAACACCTGGTAGAAACGACTTATTTCATCTGGGATATTATATTCAAAATTAGGCTTTGGAAAATTCTATAAATACAAGCCTATTTCATTCATTTAAGAGGGGAAAATCATTAGGCAAAACTCTTGAAGCTCTGAAGCTCTGAAACTCCGAAGCTCTCAAGCATCCAGGTTCCCGAAGAATCAAGAAACTGTTCTTCGTTCTTCGTTCATCGTTCTTCCAAGATCAAGCCTCGACGGCCCTTGGATCAACAATCATCCACCAATTCAAGATCAAGCCCCGACGGCCCTTGAAGAAAGTGTTCTTCGTTCTTCGTTCATCGTTCTTCCAAGATCAAGCCCCGACGGCCCTTGGATCAACCATCCACCAATTCAAGATCAAGCCCCGACGGCCCTTGAAGAAAGCCCCATCGTTCATCATCCGTTCATCCAAGATCAAGCCCCAACGGCCCCTTTGGATTAACAACGTCGACAAATCCACACATCCAACCGTTCTTCAAGATCAAGCCCAAAAGCCCTTGAAGATCCGTCCATCACTGTTCTTCAAGATCAAGCCCAAACGCCCTTGAAGATCTGCTCATTACCGTTATTCAAGATCAAGCCTCAAACGGCCCTTGAAGAAACATTCATCCTCAGATCAAGCCCCAACGGCTCCTTGAAGATCCGCTCAAATCCACCTCCAAAGATCAAGCCCACGACCCTTTGAAGAAACTTCCAACAGTTCATCCAAGATCAAGCCTTGACGGCCCTTGGATCAACGAAATATCCACCAATCAACACCTTACGGAGATCGAATCAGAGGATCAAAATAGAGAGAGATTGTAACCCAAAATCATCAAAAATACATAATATTTGTTTGTGCGCGTTTGTTCTTGTCTCTTTCGTTTCAGGAAATTTCCGTGTTCACAAATTGGCACGCCCGGTGGGATTATCTCTACCTCTCATCTCTTTCTCCGTTCCAAGCACACCTCAAAGTCAATGGCATCAAGCAAGGGACAAGCCGTTCTTGCAACCACTGAGGGAAGGATCCTAAGCACTTCTGCCGCAAACGGACAATCCATTGGCGCCACGACCGCTCCTCAACATGCCACTTCAAAATTGGTGCCGCTAAAAGAGCAAGGGGAGCATCCAAGGTGTGAGTCTGTCATCAACCTGACCTCGCTGGAGGCACCGAAGCATGATGCTGAGGCACATATGATGACATCCCAAAGCAGCCAACGACATTCTTCATCAGCATCCTGGATGTCTAAAGGAAAGTCACGTCTATTGGTCGCACAAGTCATGACTATCGGCGTTACCTCCGTTGAAGAACAACTGGCTCAAATGAATGAAGCGATCGCAAGGCTAACCCGAACTGTGGAAGAAAAAGACTTGCAAATTGCAGCACTAGTCAACCGACTGGAGGCGCAGGACGGCGATAAACCCGACCCAGAGAATGATCCACTAAAGAGAAAAGATGACGAAGAAGATGAGCCTCAGGTGGAGAAAAACGATGCAAAGCCGAATCCAGAGCAAGCAGCGGCACTCATGGGATCTCTTTCTATCCAGCAGCTGCAAGAGATGATCACCAACACCATCAAGGCACAGTACGAAGGGAGCTCAAATACCTCCGGGTTGTACTCAAAGCCGTATTCAAAGAAGATCGACGCCTTAAGGATGCCGAGGGGTTATCAACCACCAAAGTTCATGCAATTTGATGGAAAGGGAAACCCGAAACAGCACGTTGCCCACTTCGTTGAAACTTGCAACAACGCAGGAACCGAAGGGGATTACCTCGCGAAGCAGTTTGTGCGCTCGCTGAAAGGAAACGCCTTTGAGTGGTACACAGACCTAGAGCCTGAGTACATCAACAGCTGGGAGCAGTTAGAGCGGGAATTCCTCAACCGCTTCTATAGTACCCGCCGCATTGTGAGCATGCTAGAACTGACGAGCACGAAGCAATGGAAGGAAGAACCAGTCATGGACTACATCAACCGATGGCGTAATCTAAGCCTCGACTGTAAGGACAGACTCTCCGAGATTTCTTCAATCGAGATGTGCATCCAAGGCATGCAATGGGGTTTGCAATACATCCTTCAAGGCATTAAACCACGGACCTTCGAGGAATTGGCTACTCGCGCCCATGACATGGAGTTGAGCATCGCCCATCATGGGAAGAAAGAACCGATCGCCGACTACAAGAACGACAAAGTTCTTGGGACAAAGGTGGAAAAGGCCGCATGGAAACCCACCAAGGAAGCGATGACGGTCAACACAGCTCCCGTCAAAATCTCCACACGAGGCAAGGCGATTCAAACCGAAGCTTTTCGTGATCAAGAGATGCGTAGACGCACTTTGAAGGAGCTTGAGGAGAAGATTTATCCATTCCCCGACTCTGATGTAGTTGCCATGCTGGATGACCTGTTGGACAAGAAGGTGATCAGTTTGCCCGAGTGCAGACGGCCGGAAGAGATGAATCGTACCGACAACCCAAGATACTGTAAATTTCACCGCTTCATCAGTCATCAAACGGAAAAGTGCTTCGTACTGAAAGATCTCATCCTGAAGCTAGCACAGCAAGGGGAAATCGAGCTTGACCTCGAAGACACGGTGGCGGCACACACTACTACTATCGTGTTTGAATCACTCGATCCTGTGCATCTCCGAAGCATGCATGATCATTCCCGTCAATGTTCAAGTCACATGGCACCTCCTACACAACCATCACCGGGGGCAAGCAACCAAGATGCATCTACTGGTGATAAGAAAGGGTGGACATCGGTGACCTACAAAAAAACGAGGAAGCCAAGACCACAAGCCATAAGGCCAAAAGAGGAGCCTAAACCCACCCCTCGAACTTCAGTCTTCGAAAGGCTGAATTATTCAAAACCTAGAATTGCAGCACTTGATCACATCAATGGTCGAGACCAAACTTCCGTCTTCAAAAGGCTTGAGACACCAACACCGCAAAGATCAGTCTTCGAAAGGTTATCAAAGCCCAAGAAACAAAGCGGCACAGCTCTCCGCAACGGTCGGCTTTGGACAGACTTGAAGAAACTAAGAAGCCTTCTAGAAACAGGAAGACAACGCCAAAGAGAGAGAAGCTCGACAGTCTAGCAGGAAAAAACGATGTTCAAAGCTTGATTCCTTCAAGGATGAAGCGCCAAGCAACTTTGGAAGTCGACACAAAAGGACCACTGAAGGTAAGGAGGTGCACCATCATCTACACCGGCCAATCTTCACGGCAAC